GGGTTGGTCTGAGGGAGCAAGAGGATAATAGGTCTCAAGGAGGAGGTGGCACCTAGCCAGATTTTAGTGCAGGAGGTCAGGGTGGGAGTCTATGCGCATAGCCACAGACGGACCTGAGTCGTCATTGCGTCTTGAAAATCGAGTGGCCATCATCCTGTGCTAGATACAGCGACTGTGCGGCCGAAATGGGACGGGTCGGATGTGTGCGACTCCTCTTGCGTGTGTGAACCACAGACAGCTATGAGTGGGCTGTATCCGCTCATAACGGATTCTCCACATCCAGTCCTAGCGGACACAGGCCTGCGCCGGCTGAGCATGTTATCCATCCCCGACTGGCGGAAAGGTGCAGACTTTTTTTTTTTTTTTGGAGAAGGTACAGACTTTTAAAACTTTGAAAAGACGGATTGAAAACGAAATAATGAAGACCATCGTTCCTCCTGTTTCGTGTTTCTCCAGCACTCCTTAGTATTTATCGGCTTCTATCCTCCTGTGTGATCACCTTGTCTTTCCGATCCGAAGGTATTTGGCTTGGAAATGCCCCAAGTTCATCCTCAAAGTCTCCCAACAACGATGTTGCGAGGTCCCCCTCACGGCCCCCCGCTCCCCCCCTCCCCACCTCCTCTCCTCATAATGAAAATCAATTAAAAAAGGTGCAAGGGGAAGAAAGGAAATTCTCACAAATGAATGCCAAATGTGCAAAATAGGAAGGTATCTCCAGCTAGAACGTGGATAGATGCACCCACCAATATTTTTTGTCTTTTTCACATTTGGTGAGTGGTGTGGTGAGTCCTTTATCCACTCGCTGGAAGGCTGGGCAACTTCGTTTTTGAGGAAGAAAGGAAAAAGGGAAAAAAAGGAAGAATCGTCGTGATCTTTTTCCCTTCGACAGAAATGCGATCACCAACTGCGTTGCCACAGCAACAACATGATGCGCAACAAATATACCTAATAATTAGCAGATTCAATTACATATATATGCACATGTATTTATATGTATGTATATGGACGTCCTTGCATCAGAATTTATCTCCAATGTACCGAAACACACTTCCATCCACAACCAGTCAGATAGGGTGACGACCGTGAGCATGGTGGCTATGGATCGTCTGACAAGACGTGACAAACCTTTTCCGCCCCTCCTTTTTTTTGCCGGTTTTTTTTTCCCTTTCCGAAACAAAGGGCGACGGCCTTGATATATCATCGCCGAAGTGACTGGCCCCAGGCAATTCAGAATTATTTGCCTAAGCGTTCCTGACCGTTGATCTGCGAACTCGACGGCTTCCCCGGCTAGCTGAATCATCCTCGACTACACTGTAGGTCTGCCTGAGGGCTGCTGTGTAGGCTTCGGGCTTTTTTTTTGGGGGGGGAGGGGGAATGCCACAGTACTGAGGGTGGTAAGAGTCCCCCAAGATGGTGACTTTACCCATGAAGTGAAAAAAATTGGAAAAAAAAAGAGGAAAACAAAAAACGAACCCAACAGTTGATGGCTCCTTTCTATTGTGGGAGCAGCCCTAAACTCCGATTCCAGTTAGCAGCCCTAAACTGCGATTCCATCCCTGCAGCAGCAATCCACAGGATAACACTAGCAGCAGCTCCATGGGGCAAAGGAGTCCCGGGATGAGACAACAATGACCACAGCCCTAGGAAACACCATTCAGTAATCTCAGTGTTACATGATGTATCAATGGGACGCTGGACCCGGTTTCCAGCAGGTGCCGCTCCCCACCAATAGATGGAGCAGCCCGACAGATAAGCTCTCAAAAAAAAAAAAAAAAAAAAAAAGCCAATCCACAGGATGAATCGATGCGAAAAGGTTAAACCACCAGTACTTGGCCCAGCTATGGCCGCGGACTGCACCAGCTGGGGTTGCCTGCACCCTGAGGGTGAGCAAGTATGGCAAATGAAGAGTTCACTCATCCAACCAGGACTATCTCGTAGAGAAGGTATATTTTCCACAGATCTGTAGGCTCCCTTCGTCAAGCGGGGGCGAGATGGCGAACTCAGGACCTAGTTGCACCACTCGCCATCAGCCAGTATTTTTGAAAGCATCTGGACATCCAGTCTGTCCATATGCATTCAAAACCTTGGCGGATGGCGAGTGGTGCAAGGAGGCCCTCAATGATCCGCTAGCTGTGCAACACGGAAGGTGGAAAGGTATCTCATATAGGGGCTTCAACCTACATCTAGGGCAAGTACTTCTCACTGTCTTAGAGTATACTCACACTTAAAATTTGGCCGGAATTTGCCTCTAATTACGGTCATATGCATCCATGAGAGACCCGGTCTAGTGTCCTCTATCCCCTTCACCCTTCGGCATAATGATCCTCAATCGCCTGTCAGAATGTAGCTGGCCCTCGAACAGGTCGACATTGCTTCTGACAAGGTCACTAAGATCATCGCTAAGCTTCCAAGGCTCCCACATCCTTTTTCAGATTTTCCCATCTTCTATTTGGCTATCTTCAGCTGCTCGTTTCCTGGGTCCCACTTACTCGGGTTCATAGTTTCTGACTGTAGATTCCGAAGATCAACCTTCAGAAGAGAAGGACACAGGCAGATAGGACCACGCCCAGCTAGGGTGGTCTTTTTTTGTTGCTTAGAAGTTAGAACAAAACACCACGGGTAGCAATCAAACCTTTACACACAGTGAGTGGCAACCAATCCCCTTTACACACACAGTGGGTGGAACTCAATGTCCCCCCGCCACTCTATGGGTGGCAATAGGAACCCCAAAATTCCTGCCCTACCTAGCCCCTCCTCCGTTCACAAGGAACGTCATATCCCCAGCCAGTTGGTGTCAGAACCTATCCTTTTTACTGCCAGGTTTTCACAGCAAAAAAGAGCATGGAATGATAGAGAGAAGATTATCATGGCCCCTGCACAAGGATGCCACGCATAAATAGAGAAATGGTCCAAAACAGAGCGTGTTGTTGTTTAGAGGAAGAAATCTATCATCGAGGAATACTGTACTAACTTACCAGTAGGCACTGGGATGCTGGCCATAGGATGGAACCGGGTGGGACCGGAGGAGGACAAGCTCGGTGATACCGGAACATCAGTGAAGGACAAGCCCCGGAACCCCAGTTAGCATGGTGGGAGGTACACTGCGTTGCAGCGTGGGCCCAAATGAAACCGGTACTGGAAGGGCCGATTTGCCAGTATTGGCCTAAATAAAGCCAGTACAAGAAGGGATGAGCTTGTGTCATCAGGCATAAAGGATCCTGGTACTGTCGAAGGGGCTAAGACAGGCAGGATCAATGGATCAGGGTGTCAGAGGGCTTGCCGGTCTGGCCCTTCACCGAAGTGTGATGTGCTATCTCGTATGAACGAGTTTGACTAGTTAAATGCCGAAAAACACAAAAAAAAGGAAGACAAGAGAGGAAATTGCACTGAGTGATCTTGTGATCAGGTACAATGCTTCAGTCGCTGCGGACTGAGAGGTGGGCCCTCTTGGTACAACAATCTGATTAGCACCTCATCACAAATGCAAATTTATACCACCAGTAGCTTTCCCCACTTCAAAAACAAATATGCGACCATATACGGTCGCAACTTTCCACGGGCGGGATAGCGGATCAAACTGGCTGGCGACGCCAGCCAAAATGAGGCCCTTGCCGGATCGTTTTTTTTTGTAACGTGACGCTCAACCTCATGCCCTACACTGCTTTCCGGTTGGAATGACTAAAAGTGAGGACAGGGCCCCGAAAAGCGGTAAATGGGGGTGTGCCAAGGATTTTTGGAGAATTTGAGTGTGGACTTCCATGTCGAAACTGGAATCTCCTGTGCAGTTCCAGTTATGTAGTAAGGAGCAATGGTGGGTAAGAGACAAAAAGCGCAAAAATGTCACAATAATGACTATCTAATCCAAGAAGTACCTTTCAAGTTGACCTTCGTCGTGTGCTACGCGACACCGTTTTCCAGGCCGAAATGACGTTGGCGCGTACGTAGGATCCCAGCTATGGACAAAAGCACAATGACGTGTCTCGCAAAGCTCGAAGTCGGAGTTAGAGAAGTGCAGCCTTGTTGCTCTCTCCGCTACTTCCTTCTCTCCACGTGGCACGTAATCGAACCCCTCCTCGTTCAGTCGTTCAGTGTGGCGCCAGGCCGAACACAAACTGCGAGGCCAGTGAGGAGCGACAATTGGCCACGAAATTAACTCGTTAAACGGAAGCAGAGCAGAAAAAGGAGGAAAGATGGTATCAATTATCACAAATCCCAAA